CTCTCTCTCTCTCTCTCTCTCTCTCTCTCTCTCTCTCTCTCTCTCTCTCTCTCTCTCTCTCTCTCTCTCTCTCTCTCTCTCTCTCTACATATCACACACACACACACACACACACCTTCTCAGTCTTGACTGTGTCAGGCTGTCAGCAGACATGGGTGAAATGTAAGGTTCAACCTTTAGTCCAGTGAATGAGAATCACAGTCATTCTTCTGTGTGCAGTTGCATTTCGCTGAACAAACAAAGCAATGGAAAGTCAGAAAAGCAACCTCATTGACGCAACTGTCAGCAGCACCCACGATTTCTAATGGATTTGAGCTTTTTGAGGTGCTCACAGATGTTGGGCTCGGGCTGGATTCAAACCCAGAACCTGGACCAGAGAAGTTAAGGTCAGATAGTTGTCGGCACGCCAGTAAAAATGCTGTTGTTGGGCTTTGAAACTCGGCGCGCGAGTTTGTTGCCCCCGTGTGATTTTGTTGCCCTTTTCAAACTCGTTTGCGCCACAACCGAACTTACCCCTAACATGACACTTTGAAGTTTGCGCTGTTTGCAGGCAGCCAGCAGGTCACCATGAGACCGCTGGAGGCCGCAGCGCGTCACCGAGACTTTGCAGGCTGCATGTGGAACTTGTCAGCACACACGTGGTTAACCGAATATGTTTTTTTTTCCCCGAAGGTGTTTAGTTTTCCACCGAACTTTGCACTGGAACTGACATATTGTCCTGAACTTTTGTTTTTTTTTCTTGTTTTCCTCTTTGTAAGATAAGTAGGTGCTTGAGGGTAGTACCTCATGTGTCCAGTTTTGACATGTTTGGATGAGTAATGAAAAAGTTTGGCATTTGGTTGGATTCGTTGAACTGAAAGTGTCTTTTGTGTCAGGACAGACCACTGGCTACAGATCAGGGCTTTGAGTTTGGGCCTGCTGGCCCTTCTCAGACACTCGATCGGCGCTCTGCATGACATTGTGGCGCTTGACAGGCCCACGTCTGCTTCTAGGCCAGCAGCATTAGAAGTCTGAAGAGAGAGCAACTTGAGCAAGTAGATAGTAATTGGTCATATCATCCTATGGACCTATGAACAGCTGGCTGCAGCAAGACGTTCCTAGGCCTCTGTGGGACTGCACAGACGCCGGCTCTGCAGGCAGGGTTCCACGACCTGCGGTCTCGTCAGACTGCGAAGCAATGAGTATGAGTTCTCAAAAGCATCCTTATCATTTAGTTGATCCAAGTCCATGGTTTTCATAGGACCGTAGCCGGCGTAGCGGCGTAGCCACTATCTGGAGCACGGGACCACACACGAGTGCATGCTGTCACGGCACTAGAGGTCTGACTCGGGGCCATCACACTCACAGTAGTGGTCTTCAGACTCTTCACCACTGATCGGCAGGCTCATCAAGGAATTGAATTTGCAGGCTGGGCGACGGGTGTTGATGGGTTATTATGCAGCACAGACACTGTCTTGCCTGCCCCTGACGTGAGCGCACGAAGCGCGCTTATGGGTGCTTAACCTAGGGGGTGTAGCGGACCCACCAGGTGTGGTGCTCCGCTAGTGACAGAGATGGAGATGGAGGAAGAAGGGGGAGCAAGATGGCACAACGCAGCTCCCCACGCAAGACTCCAACGCACGTACTCCAAAATGTGCAAGTGAGGAATGAGACTGAAAACAGACAATGGCTGGGGTATACCCCAGCGGACTGACGGGACTGGACTGGACTGGCTGGTACCGACAGAGGTACCGGCCTGGACTGGCCTACCCCGAATGTAACACAGGCCTATGAGAACAGGCCAAGGGGCTGGTCTCACAGGCCAACCCGAGGTCCGCTACA